GAGAACCTTACCCTAATGTGCGGCTCATGCAATGCTTTTACTAATAAAGAAGAGGAAAGTGCATTCTGCATCTGCCCTGAAAGCACCTTCATATATAGTATTATTCCCTGGAATTGAAGACAACCTGGAGTTGAGCCCCAGAACAAATTATGCCATGCACATTTATCCATATTTATAACAAAACGTTGCCGTGTGGAGTACTGCTATTTAGCGCCAGCCAGCCAGCCTTTCAACAGGATACTATTACACACCCCTTCTCCATTTCTACCCCTAAGAGTCAGTCCGTTTTCTGTGCCAAGTTATAGAAGTGCAGAGTTGGAAGGGACCACAAGGATTATCTAGTCCAAGCCCCTGCAATGCAGGAATCTTTTGCCCAAAATGGGGCTTGAACCCACAACCCTGAGATTAAGAGTCTCATGCTCTACCAACTGAGTTATCCTAGGTTCAACTAGTGAGTATGCTTAGTCCTCACTGACCCATTTATGAGCCCCTTTCTATTAGGTAGCCCCCAAAGTTTTTCTGTACTACTTCAAATCTTGGGATGTCCTCCCTCAGCCTGCTAGCAACAGTGTGGATGGTGTCACTTTTGCTACATAAGGATCAAGATTTGGAAAATAAGTACACTGTTAGTATATAGCACATCCTGTCTTTCTTCCATGATAAAATTCAAGGCAGTTTACACTAAGGTCTTATCCACAATTCCTCTTGTTCTGCTGCCCCCCCCCCAGGGAAAACCACTCTATAGCGCCCAATGGAAACAAATGGCAATTCAGGTTTCCTCTGGATTGCCATTTGTTCCGATTGATGGCTAAAGAGTGGGTTTTCCACTGGAAAGGAGCAGGGTAAGGGGAAAACTGCTCGGCCCCAGTTTTCCAGGCATAGCCCAAGTAGAAATGTGTTTCCATTCTAGTCTTCCATCCACACAGTGGCCACTCCAGTCCTGGTTTGTTTCAGCAAGGTAGGTCCATCGTAAGCTGCACCAACCACCAAATACACAGATGACAGAGGTTTGGTGCAATTGCTCTTTAGTAATGCACAGGTGTTTTATCTAGGACAAGCTGCAATTAAATAAGCCCGCCCCCTCCTTTCTTCCAAAGTTGTTTCAGTGATTTCTGAATTGTCCTAGTTAAAGTTGGCCACTGGTTTGAAACAGCTGCTCTGTGTGAAAAGTTGCTGTAGTCAGTAGGAATGCACCTCAAAGTCTATTAAGGCTCTAGAAAAGAAGCGCATTTTTGAAATGCCATGTTTGCTTATAGTGATAGCTCTAGTGGCAAGGAATGCTGGATTTGGTGTCATTTGGACACCATTATGCTGCATCAGTATAAAAGCAATTACTCTAAATCTGGGATGCTGGGTTCACATGCATTAAGGTTAACAGCGTTCAGGAGATTTGTGTTGACTTCAACAACGAAACTAGTTGACCTTTTCATCCACAGCTGCCTCTTTCGAAAGCTGAAGTCTTTGCCATTTGGCTGGATTTTCTATCCCATCCTGTTATATCTCCGCCTTAGATATGCTGAGTTGCACAGCGGTTTTCTTTGCTTCTTAAAACACAAATTACTACCCCCCAAGTGTATACCAGAATGGGAGGAATGAAAAAGGAATTTGCTTTGGGTTTTACGGCCCATTTAAGGCACCGGCTCAGACAGGTGGAAGACCAGGGATAGGCATATGTTCTACATAACGATTATGTAAAACATAATGCAGCCAATCCAAATGCATATTCACACATAACAGCTGTCTCAGTTGATTCTTCCAACTGAAGGAAGGACAGAAAAGAATGCACAAGGGAGGCTTTCATGCAGGGCTAGTGCCAGCCTTCGGGGGCTCACAACAATGCTGTCGATGTGCCCCAGAGCTCCTACCCACTGCCCTGTGCAGGGGCAGCAATACCTGCACCAACCTCCACCCCCAACCAGAGCAAGAGATCTGCCCTGTTCCTTGCCATGCATAATGCTGGCCGCTGGCTGAGGAAGGGGGATGCGGGGGGAGCGCACTGCCCCTGGCAGCGCGATCCTGTTGGGATGCCATCACAGCTGCCTCCTTGCCCACACTGGGCGCCACATCCCCAAAGGCGGTGTCCTACGTCCCCAGGATGAGCACCACACCCCTGCAGACAGCACTCCATGCCCCTGGGACACGCGCCAGTCCCACCCCTGCCTGCTCTCCTCCCCCCGGTGCTGGAGCATGAAGCTCTGCCACTGATGGTGGCCACTTCACTCTTCTCCCTCCTCCTGGGCCACTACTCACCACACTTCCAGGTGGGTCTCTGGAGCTGTTTCAGCACTGGATGTGAATGCGAGCCTAGCTTGGCTCTCATTTACAGCGGCTGCCTGGCATGTTTAATTATCCACAATGCACTGTCCAAGATCTATAAAATTCTATAGTATATCAATAGATTTTATAAATCTATAGTTCTGGTAGGACCAGAATTATAGTTTTTATAGATCCATGGGCCTGGGTAGTGCAATTGTGGTAATTAAACATGTTATGAAGTCACTGTAGACTCAAATGCGGCAGCATGGCCTTCCCTCCACTGAAACAACTCAGAGGGGTGAGGTCTGCTTGGGGAGTGGTGGCAGGGCCTTGGGACCTTCTGTCTGTACATAGATTGTATACATCCTTTGCCACAGTCACTCCAGAGGGCCCCAGTAGTGGTCACATGGTGGACTACAGAGATCATTTGTTCTCAGCTAAATAAAAAATGCTGACTAGAATCTGCTTAGAGATGTTAAAGAGAGAACCGACCCCCCCCCGCATGTATTCTGATAACGTGACAAGATTGTTTGTTCACTCTGGGTCAATAGCAAGTCCTATTACTGTACTGTTTTGCTCCTACCCTTTTATGTAGCTAAATGTTTATCTAAGGCAAAGTTCTTCACTCCAGCTCTCAGAAGGGGATAGTGCGGTGACCCTTCATAAGGAAAATGCGAGGATGCATGCAGCCCAGCTTGAGACACCCTTAAACACCCCCAAATGTAGGTAGGAATGGGTTGGCTTGCTGTGCTGACCAAGGAGTGAACAACAGGACTGGAAAAGGATTAAAACACTGGATAGTTTGTGCAGCTGTGAGAATGAAAACAATGCAGTTGGGACTGGAGCATTTCATTTTTACGATGACTGCCTTGGATTGCTATCCCTGTGGACTCTTTCTGCAGTTACGTTTAGTAGTATATGTGTGATATGAAATGCCAGCACGGTGTGGTGTTGCACTAGGAATGTGGAGATCCGGGTTCAAATCCCCATTCAGCCATGACGTTCATTGGGTGACCTTGGTTGGGCCAATGACTATCTCTCAACCTCACTTACCTTGCAGGATTTTTGTGATGATACTGGCAGGGGGAAGTTGACAACTTCTTATGGGAAAGTTGGGATATAAATGTAGGAGTTGTCATCAGCACCAGCATTGTCATTTTCTTTTTTATATTCCACAAAATATGCTCATTTTGTTTTAACCCCTTCAAATTTAAGGAACGTTAATTCTCCAGTTTCCCTGTAACTACAAGGGAGAAAAATCCCAAACAAAAATAAAGTCCAGAATTACTTTATTATCCCCCCCTTTTTTAAAAAAAAGATTGTAAGGTAGGGAAATTATCTGCATTATGTTTATGTCTTTTTCAAGAATACTTTAATCTTAAAGATGCTTTAATATAAGGTGCTAGAAAGATTTTGTGGTTGTACTTGGCCTTGATTTTGTAATACCTGGTGCTGTCTGGGCAAGATCTCCGAATCCACATCAAGTATGAGCCTGTGATGCCCTTTCCATCTAAGCTAGCTAGAGCCCATTAATAATAGTCTCATTAAAGTTGGGTGTGTTTTATGCAACAGGCCCTGTATGTTTGAGATTAAGGGATTTTTGTTCTCAGCAGATTAATGCCTTTCAAAAAAGTTGGTTCAATTCTGGTTTTCCAGAATCATTGGCTAAAATATCTTGACATCTGGAAGAACCTCTGAGCCTTTTTACACATTGCAAATCCTACACAGAAAATTCTTCCACTCAGGAATTGATGCAGGACCCACAGTTCTACCCACAGTTCTCTCTCCACATTTATCCTCCCAGCAACCCTGTGAGGTAGGTTCAACTGAGAGAAAGAGTGACTGCTCCAAGGTCACACAGGGAGCTTCAAGGCAGAGTGAGCATTTGAAAGAGGTGTGCATGCACTTTTCCCCTTTCTGTCTCTGGGGACAGGGGAGAAATGACCAAATGGCACTCATGGCACTCGCTCAAAAACCCAAACTTAGCAACCCTTGGTTTGGCACATCGGCAAGAACTAAGAAGATGGAGAGCAAGGGCTTATGTGGTGGTGACTAGCAGTGCATGTACTTTGCTTATTTTCTGAAACCACCATAGATTACTGCAGCAAGTATAAGAAGTGTTGCAGCTCTGAAGTTAATAGTCTTAATATGCAACCAAAAAGGGGGAGTATCTTACTTCAGTTATTCAGATGGGCTTTGGATTTCAAAAATGTGGTAAACCACCCCTGATCATTGTGCTGGTCCTCTGACTCAAAGTCCTCCCTTGAGGGCACCTGGCTGCTCTGCTGAAGTAAATGGTAAGAGGCGCCAGCACACTTAGCCTTGTTAAAGAAGCTGAGGACTTTTTGGACACAAGGGGAACTACAGCAAGGGCAAAAGCAGGGGGAAGATGAGAACTATTACATGAGTGTTTGTGTGAATGAAAGGAGCAGGAGAGCCAGAAGGCACTCTCAACCACTAGGACTAAGAAGTTACTTTCCATATATTTCTACGCAAGAGGGCAGCAGCAGGCTACAGTAGATGGGAAGGAAGACCCGTAAAGACTACAGGTGACTCAATTCACCCCTTACAGGAGGAGGAGGAGAAAGATGGTCGTAGTGGCTGGGGACTTGCTACTGTGGGGTACAGACTAAGGACGCAGCTGCCTGTTGACTGGATGAATTGACCCATGAAATATCTGTGGCTCTGGTGTGCAGATCCAGGGCACGATAGACCAAAAAAGTTGCATAAATTGTAATACTTACTCTTCTGTTGTCCAAAGTTGTAAATTTGTGAATCTGTTTCAACTCCTTTAATTTCTACAGAACGTGGAAGGACAAAAGACTGTGCTCTCAATATATCTGCCAGGAAGATTGCCAGTTGCTGATCTATGTCTTTTTGGTTCCTGGCTTGTTCTTCTATTGGTTTTCAGACCTATTGCATTTACTGTTTGAAAGTCATTGCTGAGAAGTGATTGATAAAAGAGACATGAAATACATGGCAATTATCCACCATTTGTAAAAAGAAAAATGGCAGGGATATAAATAATGAAAATGTTAAAGAGTTTTGTTTTCGTTGTTTATATCAATATTTCATGGGGAAATTTTCCTTTAGGAACTTTCTATACTTTGAATTTTAAAGTTGGTTTTAATAGAAGAGCATGGCTGACTGGAAGAAGTAGGTATCGATTTCAAGGCAGGGGGCATTACTGACATAACAGCCTTCTCTTCCAAGGAGGCTCTGAATTGTCTTAATTTTTGTTCTGACAAAAGAATTGTATAGATCTAGTAATTTTTATCATCAGTTTGTTCTTAATGACATTGCAGTTGGAGTGGAAAACAGTATTCTTACCAGGCTGAAGGTGTAGAGAAACAGTGTCAAGTCCTGCTTGTCCTTAGAACCCACTCCACAAGATATCCCTAAATACCTTCACCCAGGGGTCAGCAACCTTTTTCAGCTGTGGGCCGGTCCACCGTCCCTCAGACCATGTATGGGGCCAGACTATATTTTGAAAAGAAAAAAAAAGAACAAATTCCTATGCCCCACAAATAACCCAGAGATGCATTTTAAATAAAAGGACACATTCTACTCATGTAAAAACATGCTGATTCCTGGACCGTCCACAGGCCAGATTGAGAAGACGATTGGGCCGCATCTGGCCCATGGACCTTAGGTTGCCTACCCCTGCCTTAGCCCAATGGGCTAAGGCAATAAACAAGAATCATGTCTTTTCAGAATCTTTGGCAAAGCACGTCTGTCCCCTATTGACCAGTAAAAGGTAAAAGCAAAAAAGTAGGAAGAGACTACCTGAAGAGAATGTCACATTTCATGACATGGCTTTGACAGGATTTGGCACATGAGAATCTGGTTTAAGGAGTAGGCCAGCAACCTCATACCAGAAAAAGTGTTTTGTTTTTTTGCTTATCTAAGTACTTGAGCAACTAATGTCAGGTAGCACCAGGCCTTTGGCCCCAGTTGCTCAAATGCTAACTGTTGATGAGGCAGCTCTTGACTCATAATTAATTTCCTAATCATCACATCAAACAAAAGAGGAGGAATAATGATCACTTGCATGCTATAGATTGTGAAAGTGCTGTTCTTAACTGATTTTGAGTGAACCTCTAGATTACATGTCAAAAGTATTTCCTTGAAACCAGATGTCTCTGTTTCCTAGCCAGCAATGAAGAATATATGGCATGATGTTTGACAGCTAACCTGTAACAACTATCTAGGATCACATGAAAGGTTTGGGGAGTTACAGTACTACCTAATAATCAGATAAAGGGGATATTCAAGCCTCTTTACCCTGGCTCTTCACAAAGTTATATTTATCCTCTGGGGATGGTGTTTGTTGAACAGAGGTAGTAATTTTTCTTTTTTCCAGTTACAGTAATGTGATGTTTGAATGTTTACGGCTTCTTCCGTGATTGATAGCTGCAAGGACTTGAAGTACATGCTTTTGGTATTCATAAAACACTGGGAATGTAAAGTGCTTAAGGGCTAAGATATGCTAAGATAGAGGGTATAGATGTAAGATATAGGGTGCATAAGGTATAGTCACCATATTGGTCAACACTATTAAGCCTAGATAGGCATTGTCTTCCAGAATGGACAGTCTGATAGTTCCAGCGCTGTTCAGAAATATCTTTTTGTCTGCTGTTGCAAGCTGGCTGGGAGGTGGTTGCCTTTATTTTTAAGAAAGTTAATTAAATTTAATACATGTGGGGGGCAGTGATGAATAATGGTAATTTATTAAAGGAGACTTGGTTTTTGAGCAGGGTTCTGGGTGGGAAATAAATGGAGAGTAAATTAACTAAAGAGGGATGACTGGGTCATCTGGACGTGGAGCGATCTCGAAGTGTGGTCCCAAGTAACTGAGGCATTTATTTTATTTGGGGTAATTTTGATTTGAATGGCAAATTAATTTGCTTGCCTTCAGTGAGATTTAAATAAGTTCTCTAGTAATTGGTTCTAGAATTCTATCTCTACATAAATATTGCCTAATTCCAGTGTTATGCGAATCTGTGTCCTCATTTGTCTTCTATTTTTGGTCATGTGTACGTGGCCATCCTGAACACAGCCCAAGGCATAATGTTTCTGCAGCTCCCAGCCTGCCTTCATATGGTTTGTGGCCAGTGATGCAAAACAACAACAACAACAATTTTATTATTTGTACTCCGCCTATCTGACTGGGTTATCCCAGCCAAAAGAACTAGTATCTGTAACAGATGATGAGATACTATGAGCATGTGTCAATTAAGGTGTCACGTGAAGGTAACAAAATAAGGAATTACTGTTCAAGACATCTAGAGATTGGTCTGCCAGTTGTCAAATCCTGATCCATACTATAGGAGAAGTAACTTCCAAGGGACTATAGCACCTGAATGAACTGAAGGTATTTCCAGTTATAAGTGTAAATTAAAACAGAAATACTGAATTCAGAGAGAGAGAGAGAGAGAGAGAGAGAGAGAGAGAGAAAGAGAGATCACAATGTTTTGCAATTTGTTATAGTTAACTCTAGTGCCTGAATGTAGAGCACCCTTGAGCACTTAGTTTCAAACTTGACTAGATAACAGTTTGGTTCTGAATTCCAGAACTATCCGCTTCTTGGCAGAAAGCTCTGCAGACTCTGGCAAAGCTCAGAATGCATGCAGAAAGCTGAACCCCCTCCCTTCTCTTGTTGGCTAGAGCTGAGGCCAGGTGCTAATGGTCTAACTCAGTTACATATTGTCGTCAATCCATGCCTTGGGATTGTACTTAGTGAGGCTTGGTATGCTGTCACATGACAGAAAGAAAACTTTGAAGGCACTGAGCAGGTTTTGCTAAGTCTGGTATGGATCTAATGAGAAAATCTGGTTCAAAGATGATCTGGAGCCTCTTGGATCCCACCCACCCTCAAACATCTAGCAAAGTAGACCTCCTTTTCTTCATGCACTCTGGAAGAAATGTACTGGTAGCAGCTCCATGTTATTCTGCGATTTCAAAATTTCACCACAATGACACCTTTCCTGCCCCAAAACTTTTTGCTTTTGCTGGACCTCATTTATACAAGTACCACTTAAGGACAGAAAGGTGCACCCTACCAGATGCTGGCATGACTAATAGACAAAAGCTGGGGAACTGACTTCAATAAAAAATAAAAATAAAATAGAATATATGATTGTCTCCTCTCCCATTTAACAGGTAATTTTTGTCCAAGTCTCTTAATATCATGAGACTGTCTTGGGTCATGGGTTGCAGAACAATTATGGTGATAAATGTTAATAGTCCATTTAACTGCAATTAAAATTTTCTGTGTCATAAACTTTAAATTAAAAGCTAATGCCCCCTCTTCCATCACTTTCCATAGCTGTTCTACTACTGTTGCATTTGCCAAAATAGGTTTTGCCGAGGTGTGCATTGTGGGTTGGTGACAACAAATGGCTGCATAAAGCAGATAGTGGCACAGTGCTGTGTTTTCATGTGTTGCCTACAATGTCCTATTAGCTTTGAAAGAAGGTGGTCTCTATGCATGTGTGGGGCATGACCTTGATTAAGAGCCAGATGCCAGAACAGCCTGGCTGGCTCTAATAAAACCAGTGAACCATATAAGTAGCTAGATCTGAGGTTAATTTTTTCTGATATTTTTAAACCATTGAAAGGTATTGCAATTAATTTCACATCTCCCTAAAGTGAATTTACTAGAAACCTGCATACATTCCAGGATCCAAAACACTGAATGGGTTGTTTGTGTTCAGTATGGCTTCAGGGGATTCCCTTTTGACCAACTTACCCACAGAAGCCACTTGAGACTCCAGTGACAAGTTGGAATGCAGGAGTAATCCCAGTCCTGTTACTTCAGGGGAAGTGCCACTCCTCCCAGAACATGCTGCACACCTAATTTCTGGACACAGAAGCAACCCACCCACACCACTTCCATCTTATCAGGATTCAGCCTCAGTTTATTGGCCCCTATTCAGTCCATCACTACCTCCGGACATCTATCCAACAACATCACAGGTTCCTTGATTCCTATTCAATGGAGATAGAGAGCTTGGTGTCATCAACGTACTGATGACACCATGATTCAGGTCTTTGAGTGACAGTTCCCAACAGATTCACGTGGATGTTAAATAGTGTAGGAGGCAGAATAGACCCTTGTGGGATGCCCCAGCCCCAAAGCCATGGAGCCGATCAACAATTTCGTAGCAGTTTCCAACAATTTCCAACAATTTTTTCTGTGATCTTGCAGGTAGGAGTGGAAACTGTAATGTGGTATATCCAACTCCTACCTTCTTGCCTTACTCCAGAAGAACACCATGGTCAATAGTGTCAAAAGCTACTTGAGAGGTCAAGGAGAACCAACAGGGTCTCATTTCCCTGTCTCTCTCCTGATAGTGGCGGTTAGGGTGGCAAATGCTGTTTTGGTGCCCAAACCTAAAGGTGCTATGTTGCCACCTAACTATTTTATTTTATTTTATTTGTATACCCGAAGGTCTCACTATTTCCCCAAATTAAGGGGAAGCTTCAGGAACAGCCTCTGACGCCACACAAAGAAGTTGCAGTCAGAGTATTTTTTCAAACAAATGATCAGAAAGTCAATCATTATTTCACTTTGAGACTGCTCATGCATCGGTGCCAAATGCCATGTGAACTAATTTTGCATCTGATCTTCCCATTTTCACCACCCATTCAAATGGAAAGCCACCTCCAGAGCATCTTTCCAGGACTAGATCTTATTGTTCATATTGCCCATCTGCATGCAAGTAGTTTCAGTAAATAAAGAGCAGTGTCAGCAGCAGGAAGTGAGAAAGTGTTGTTGCAGGGAGGGTTTTCAGGGAAGGGATTATTGCCTCTTTCCTTTTCCGGTACTTGCTGTTCTAGGGAAAAAACTACACAGAACGTTTATTTCTTCTTACAACCAAGGGCATCAGATCAGGAAAACAATTGCTCCTTTCCAGTGGTGTGGAGAGAATTTCATATGGCAAGAAGAGGGGTATCCAATATTTGTAGGGGCTTCTGCAATGTTAATTCAGAATACATCCTGATTTCCTTGCACAATGTTTTTGCAGGGGTTAGACTATGCTTAGTTTTTATTGAGCATTCATTCTGATTTGTTTACAGGGTGGTTATACAACAAGGAGCATTTATCCTGCATCCATCCAGATTTGCTTGCGGGATATCTACATTTTTTACTATTACTTTTTCATTCATCCCATGCTTTTTTCAGTGCATTTCCCCATCACTTTCCTAACTGCAAAAAGTCATTTTTTAAAAACTGGATTTGTTGCACAAGGGTAACAGAGCACTTCAATCCACTCTCATTGTGCAAACCTTAAGTTCTGGCATGCACCTGAATTCCTTGTACAGAATAGAGACAGTCTGGGTCATTCACATTGGGAATTTGAGTGGGGAGGATTCTGATATCTTTAAACTGGACATTGTTTTCCAACACACCTGGGAATCTCTGTGCTGAGGAAAATGTATAACCTGTAATGATGTGATGAGAAACCTGTGGTCCTCCAGCTCCCATCAGCTCCATCCAGCATAGTCAATGGTCCCTCAGGAAGGTTGGGCAATGCGGTTCAACATCTGGGGAGGGCCTCAGGTTCCCCATCCCCACTGTAATGTACAGAAAACAATATGAAAAAGTCAGGGAAACGTTAAAATACAAAGTAATACAACGTGTTGATCCTTGCTTTACTGTCACATATAATCAAATATTTAAAACCAAACAGAGCTAAAATGTTTGAAATGCAAATATCTTTGCACATTGTTTGAGAGTGAAGGTGATATCCTTAACTGAAGGCAGGAAATGATAAAGGATATCGTTATGGTTTTAGATTGCAAGCCCTGAGAGGGTAGGGACTGCCTTGTTTTAAGTGAATGTATGTAAAGCCACCCTGGGAGTCTTTCTTGGCGCTAAATAAATAAATAAAAGTGGGGTATTATATCCTGCTGTGCTTGGCCCTATTCAAGCATTATATGGCAAGTTAAAGAAATCTTCACCTAAGCTCATTTATCGGAAACCAACAAAGACTGTTCAGTTTCGTGGCAATAACTTGGCATGCTGTGGGTCCTCCGACATGCCTGATCACTTTCTGAAGCTTGTCAACTTCCTGTAAATCTTACCCCCCAGGACTTTATCATGAAGTAGAGCACTGTTGTGGGAGGTGCTTTTCTGTAAAGCGAAGTCATATCTGGCTCCTTTTAGAGGAAGTGTGAGTGCCAATTAACAATGGTAATAAGGGTGATCTTGCAGCAATTGTTTACTTGGAGTTTCATAAAGCTGTTGACTAGAGAGATGGGTGAATTTTGGCTTCTTTCCGCTCCTCGTTTTTCCCGTCTACAGTTCAGTTATCCACATTTCTTCATCAGTTTGCAATGTAAAAACAAAACAAAACAAAACAAAACAAAACAAAACAAAACAAAACAAAACAAAACAAAACAAAACAAAACAAAACAAAACAAAACAAAACACACAGTAGAGTTGGAAGGGACGCTGAGGGTTATCTAGCCCAACCCCTGCAATGCAGCAATTTCAACTAGAGCATACTTACCTGAAGGTGTTTCTCCACCCTCGTTGTTCAGCCTGGACACTAAGATCCAGCACCAAGGGCCTTCTGGTGGTTCCCTTACTGCGAAAAGAGAACCTACAGTGAACCAGGCAGAGGGCCTTCTCGGTAGTGGCGCCTGCCCTGTGGAACACCCTACCATCAGATGTCAAGGAGATGAGTAACTATATAACCTTTAGAAGACATAGGAAGCAGCCCTGTATAGGAAAGCTTTTTAAGGTTTAATGTTTTATCATGTTTTTATATATGTGGAAGCTGCCCAGAGTGGTTAGGGCAACCCAGTCAGATGGGCGGGGTACAAAAAATATTATTATTATTATTATTATTATGGCCATCCAACCTCTGCTTGAAAACCAGCAAGTAAGGAGAGTCTACCAGCTCTCGTGGGAGTCAATTTCACTGTCAAACAGCTTTTACTGTCAGAAAGTTCTTCCCAACATTTCGTTGGAATCTCCTTTCTTATAACTTGAAGCCGGTTCGGGTCCTAGTCTCCAAAGCAGGGGAAACAGCTTGCTCAAATCCTGTATGTGACAGCCCTTTAGATATCTGAAGGTGTCTGTCCTCTCTCCTTTCAGTCTCCTCTTTACCAGGCTAAACACCCAACTAAGTATAATATGTCGGTATGGGAAACTGTCGTGTAACGGGCCAATGGCCGTAATAAAGATCAATCCAATCCACCCAACTTCTTCAACTGTTCCTCATAAAGCTTGGTTGGGAATTGCTTCCTTCATGCAGGCTTCCTATGAGCATCTATGGGAAGAACAGGTTGCTGGAACAGATGAACCTTTAGTCTGATCTGATTAGCTCTTCTTATTTTATTAACTTGAATTAATGTGGCATTTGTGAAGTAAGGCATAAGAATTTGGCACTAAGGAGGATTTAGGGGCATCCTCTTTCTTGGGGTTATTTCTGAAATACCATTGCTTACTATGGGCATGCTTGGAAGCTACACAAACAATTTTGTCTGATCACTTCCACCAAAGAAATGAAGGCCACCAGGAGATATCAATGCTTGGCTTCCGGTCCAGCCTGCCTTAATGGAGGCAGCCCCCATGATAGCGGGGGATCACCGACAAATGAAAAACAAGGATGACAGAGGGTAAATCACCCTTGCAAATTCCTCCCAGGGACAGGGGGAATGGGCTTCACTCGCAGTTCATCTTGGTACCTAGCTCTCGCTCTGGCATGGAATGTGGGAGGCAGGTAGGCGCTGAGTAGAAAAACAATTTGCATGGCAAAAACCCTCCTACGCCACCATTAAGAAGTAAAGGTTCTCCTTTTAATTGGATTTTTAATTGGCTTTAATATACCGTCGTGTGATGGAAAAGGTTTGCAACAATATACTGCGGAACATATCGGCTACATGAATCAAAGGTTTGAATTGAGATAAGATTTTCTTCAGCGTGAGAGTCAGTTGGGGAGAGGGAAGGCCATTTTATTTTATTTTAAGTTTCATTTATATATTTATGGTTCAGCAACCCCTCTCTGGAATGCAAGACAAAAAATATTTACAAGTGAGGAAGGGATGTTGGAGTAATATTAACACGCAAAAATGGAAACTGCTTGTGATCTGAAATGAAGAAAGGAGGGGGAAGGGGAAGCTCAAGTATGACTATGTTGGAAAGACAGAGTGGAAAGACAGAGTAATTCCCCTCACCTCCGTTTAAATACAACAGACAAGGAAAAAGAGACTGAGATTTGTTTGTGCTACTGACGGAATGTAATCTAAGATAAGGTTTAATTGGGCCATAAATCTCTAGCTGGAATTAAAAGAATTTTGGGGCTGTGATAAGAATGCTGCAGAGATTCTGGGAGTTGGAAAGGAGTGTTAAACCATCAGCACATTTGAAAATTATCTATCTATTCCTAGGCTAAGGGGAGAATGACAAAGATCTGCTAAATGTTTTACTAGTGAGACAGAATGGTTTCTAACAGACTGTCGCCTGTTCCAAGACACAGATGCAAGGGACGGACAGATAAGACTTCTGAGAAACTTCAAGATTCAGTTCCGCCCCAAGCTATTATGGGAAAAAACAATAGCAGGGAAGTGAAAGAGACAACACCATATATGGACAGGAGGAATCTCCATGGATGTAACAGTTTTTACACACATGGCAGAATAACGATAATAGTTTGAGTTCCTCGCTTGAAGCTTTATAAATTTATATATTATAACATCACAAATGGAAATCATTAATTATGTAGTTGTTGACTAAGGGATTATTATTATAACTGAAATGTAACTGATATTAATTAAGATTATGGAACACAGTGATATAAGATCGGAAATGCACCCAAACCACCATGTGGGGAGCCACTTTAACTAAGATGTATTAATTGGAAGTTGAATGGCATTTTGAAAATTGTATAATTTGGGAATTAATTGGTCATTGTTATAATTTGGCTAATATTGGGAGCATATTGTAAAACTAATTTTTAAAATTACAAAAAAAGAAGAAAAGAAATAGCAATGCTTGGCTAAAAATGCACCCTGCAATTAGCAGTTACGCCACAATCCACCGTCCTAATCATGCTTGGTATATCCTGTTCCTGATACAAAGAAATCCCTTTGTTTCTAAAGGAAGAACTTTTCTCTGATCACCCAGATTGCTTATGTTATGAAACCAAGTAATCGTTATGATAACAAAAGCTCCATTTAGTTTCTGAAAGAATAAAAAATTCAATAGGCAGTGTGCGGGCACACACACAATGTGTATATTTACACAGAGACACAATAAGGCTGCCTAAATAAAGCAACGGAGCCCTTGGGCATCTCAAACTAACTTATTTGCTGCAGCAGGAACTTTTGTAGGAAATATATTGCCTTACTAGACACAGGCTATTTGGACGGACACACATACAGCTACTTTTTCTGCCGTAACATTTAACATATTTTTCTGCATTTGCTCTAATTTATGCTCAGCTTCTTCGGCAAGTAAGAATTCCCCCACCCCCTTTGAGTCTTAGGATTGGTTGCTGATATAATTCAAGTGTTTTGACATATTGAGGGGGAGAAAAGGCCCATCATCTCTTTGGCTCCTTTGTTGTGAGTTCTTTTGTTCCCTGCAACCAGCCCTCATACACTCAAGATGGATGTCTGTAGGTGGAGGTGTAGCTTGAAGAGAAGTGCAGGGGAGATTGAATTTGTTCAGTGCCTGAGCATCTCTGATAAGGCCATCATTTGCTTCTCTCGTGGAGACAATCTGTCAGTTGTCTGATGCAGACCTTGCTCAGGGCCTGGCTCCTGCCACCCATGGAGAATACACACAATTACTAGGTAAATGCTTTGATACTTCAACCCTTTGGCGTTTCTAGACTGGGAAAAGGAGCCGTCAGGGAACTCTGTCCTTCTGTTGCATCTTTCATGTTTTGTCTCTTTTCTGCCTCACATATTTGTACTCTAAGGTGAATCTCCCCCTCTAGAAAACATTTATTTCAGTTAAACCCCTCAGCCTGTACCTAAATTGCTCTGATTAACAATATAGCCATTTCCTCACAAGGAAATCATCTTCTTCCCTCTCTTCCCTTGCTTCTTCCTATTTCTTTTTCTCCTGGTGGCCAGATGAGAGGAAGTTAATTTTCACTTGAATGATTTTGGGATCAGGCTGAATGAGCATGGAGCAACATCACTAGCTGCAAAGCCATTGGTTATCTTGTCCATATGCCTTCAATCCCTCCTAATGATGCTGGGAGGTTAGTAATCGCTGGTGCCAGTTCCATTTTACTGCAGTCCAGATGGAAGCTTAATGCTAATAGTGAGGAGGATTTGAATGGGAATCAAGGTTATTCATGACCTGCCCTGCCCCTTCCTGTGGAGCCCTATGGATTTTTGCCATGTGAACCAGACTTCTCTCCCATCCATCCATCACCCTGCTCCTTTTATCCCTTCCATAGAACAATGGCTCAAATTAGTTTACACAGATGTGTGCTTGCGAAAGCCCCTTTGAGCTCTGCCACATTTGGGTCATGCAGCTTGAAGTTTACAGCTTCACAGACTTTTTTTTTTTAAATGGGCATCTACTAGGATGAAAGACAACACAGAAGGAATAAATGAAACGTGGAATAATTAGTGCTTTTTGTTGCTGGTTTGTTGTTTATGTTGAGATAAATATTTGATTTCCAGCATTTTAAAATATTCATCATACCGCATAAAAATGGTGAAGAGCATAACAAAATACCCAAGTCATGAATATTAAGCTTTGGCATTGGCAATATTTCATTGCTTTGGTGAACAGCTACTAAATTTAGAAAACGGAACAGCAAAAAGGAATTAGCCGTTTAAGAATCACTAGATAACTCTTCGTTATTCGGGAAGATGAGGAGGTAGATTTACATTTTATGCAGCAAAAATGCTTGCCGCTTGTGTAGTGGGATCTGCTGAAGTGAACACCACACAATGTGAAGGGGGAGATGTTTGTGCCTGTGGATATAGAACCCATCAGGGAACGATGGGCAATGGCAGCTCCTTGGCATGCAGCTCATTTACCCACATGGATCTTGTCTTCATATTGCATTAATTATCATCACCCCCCAAAAGAAATTTGAAACTGTAGTTTTATGAGGCCTTGGGGCTTACAAACAGAATTCTGACTTTACTATCCTTAGGTAAAGGTAAAGGGACCCCAACCGTTAGGTCCAGTTGCGGACGACTCTGGGGTTGCGGCACTCATCTCACTTTATTGGCCAAGGGAGCCGGCGTACAGCTTCCGGGTCATGTGGCCAGCATGACTAAGCCGCTTCTGGCGAACCAGAGCAGCACACGGAAACGCTGTTTACCTTCCCGCCGGAGCGGTACCTGTTTATCTACTTGCACTGCATGCTTTCGAACTGCTAGGTTGTCAGGAGCAGGGACCGAGCAACAGGAGCTCACCTCACTGCGGGGATTCGAACTGCTGACCTTCTGATCGGCAACCCCTAGGCTCTGCGGTTTAACCCACAGCGCCACCCAAGTCCCTATCCTTACGAAACTACAATTCACAGGTACATCATAAACCTTACATTGCATTTAAAGAGATTTGCAGTCCAGTCCTAACAATGTAGTCCTATATATACCTCCTTAGAAATAAG